ATTATTTATGATAGATGTTGCTTTATATCCCTATTTTACACGATTTTGTGATTTAAATATTACTTCTTATCTTAATGTGTTAATGCATCTGAAGAAATTTGTACAATTAAAATTCATTTTTGGCCCATTTACCCGCTAATGTTGATGTGAGATGAGGTAAATCAATCAAGAATGCATTCCAGTTTTACAAATTTCTTTAAATAACAAATATTATTTACACGCATCTTATATCGTTTCCAGAAAGTGAATTCTGTCATACAAGTTGCAACAAAAAAATTCATGCTCTAAAGAAATCATAAAGTTGTGTAAAATGGAGACATGAAACAACATCGATCGTAAATAAATAATAATTTTAATAATGTCAAATTTCTTAAAATATGTTAAACAATAGAGCTATAAAACTAATAATACAAATTTCAAAACTTTATTTTATAAGGCCGATCCACACCGTGAGTACGTTCTCTCTCTCTCTCTCTCTCTCTCCCTCGCGCGCATGCACACGCACACGCACACACACACACACACACACACGCGCGCGCGCGCATACACGTATGCACGCTCAGTTAACATATCCGTGTTAATATACCCCTTGCGCTATGATTTAAGTTTTAATAACGTGTACCACAAACAACAACAACCTCGGTCACGTACAGAATGTTTTCATGATTGCACGAATCGTCTAAAATTGTGTCGATCGTACACGTCTTATGGAATGTAAAATACAGTGACTTCCATTAATGTTTCGACGCTTTTCAAAACGCGATAACTTTTTAGAACTGGGCAAAACGATTTGAATTTTTTTTTTAGATGATAGATGACGATCTACCAGACCATAACTAGAATACTTTTTTTAAATTTTGTTATTGCTTAGAACGATAAAAGAAAAGAAAAACTCTCGTTTTTTAACTTTTTTATCTGATCCAATATCAAAAATTTAAGAAATGTGTTTTGTAGACCTCGGTGAGTTATACGCATGCTGAAAATTTTATCGAAATCGGTTGATGTTTTTATGAGTTAAAGCAAATCAAAGATGGCAAAAATTGCAATTTTGTTACGATTTTGATCGAAAACTGTAAGAAATCTACAATTTTTTAAATCTTTCAATGCCTGTAACTCGACTCTTGATTAACCGATTTCTTGAATTACCGAGATCTACGAAAGATGTTTTTTATTATTTTCGTTATAGGCTCAGATATATAGAAACGTGAAAAAAAACGAGTTTTTATTTTCTTTTATCGTTCTAAGCAATAACAAAATTTAAAAAAAGTATTCTAGTTATGGACTAGTAGATCGGTCCTCTATCATCTAAAAAAAAAATTATCTAGAAAAATTATATATCATAAAAGAATTGAAATCTTATTTATTTTGTCATTTCCAGTAATAGCAAAATTTGGGAAAAAGCATTTTAATCATTGTCTTGTATACTAGCCTTTCTATCATCTAAAAAAGATTCAAGTTAATTAGTGCATGTTCGGGGCTGGAACTATTCCAGAATTGGGACTGTTATTCGAGGCGTTTGAACCGAAAAATAAACAATTATATACAAGTAAACACGTGGATTCTTCAATACAACACTTGACGTAAATCTAATTACTATATTACAGAAATTGTAATACGTATTTCTTTAACAATAAATTGTTTTTTAAAAATACTTCTGAGAATAATTTTCAGTCCACGTGGATGGGCGCAAGGCAAGTGGAACAATTGGTGCCACATGGTAGTCGCTACTGTAGCAGAAACGAAATGAGAGATAAACAGTCGTGTAACGCAGCAACGTTGGTATCGCTTTGTCATACGAGGGGGCGGACCGGCCGGATTATTGGCGCGCGAGTAATGCATCGCGCGGTAATAAGCGAATTACACCTCGCATTCACGAACTAATTGTGCAAATCATGACGTCGTTCTTGCTGCGGCTGAGACGCAGTTCAAATCTCAACAGTGCAGTTTTAAAAAAGCTATTGCGTTTCAAAACGCCTAGCAACAACTCAAACGACCGCAGACGAGAACCCATATCCGACTTGGAGGTTACTTCACAAAAATATATGCAACTGTATATATACATATACAACTTCAAATATCCAGTCGCCAAATTTGAAAAAGAGCTACCGGCCTCGTATGGTAGCAACTACACTAAAATTTAATAGAAACAATGTTCGTATTCAACTCACATCCACCAAAGACTTCAAAGAACTAAAACTAAGTCTCCAAGCCAAAAACGTTTCCTATTATACTCTCATGATCAAGAACGAAAGGACTTTGCCAATGGTCGTCCAGAGGAAGTTATCCAACAAATCTCTGCCCAAAACTTAACCCCAACGGCCTGCTATCTTATTAAAGATTCTAATGCCTACCGAGTCAACTTTCCAATGGGCACCAGAGTCCACGACGTCAATAGAATCAAATTCTTATTCAGGGCCAGAGTTTACTGGGATAAACATATGTCTCGTACCAAGCACACGCATTGCTATAGATGCCAAACTTTCGGTCATTCTTCCTCCAACTGTAATTTCCCCCGGCATGCGTCAAGTGCGCAGGGCCACACCTTTCCAAAGACTGCTCTACACAATTATTTTCATGGAAAATAAAATAGTACCGCCGCAGCGTATGGGCCTAAAAAAACTGGTTCTCTGGTTGAAACACCAGGAAAACAAGTGGGCGACGTTCACGGTACGGTAGACATCGGGGGCCCCCAGTCGCACCATGTCCCCTAGACCGAATTACTCTCTCATCCGGACCGCCTCGTCAATTCCATTAACCTGCACAACCTGCCCAACACTATTCAACATCCACAGCTTATGTTGTCCACCATCACTACCCTTAATAGACTACTCAGAACATGTAACATTAACGCAGAAAAATTTCAAGCATACCTTCAAGTGTTTTCCCCCTAGATTAGAAATTCCTTAAAATATTAATCTGGATTGCCAACTCCTTCTTATATAAAAGAACTAATTCACGTCCTCCAGTGCGAACAGACTCAGTAGCTCTAATTTCTGAAACCTGGCTCGATCAATCCACCATCATTATCATTCCTGGCTATTCAACCATTCGCAAAGACAAAAATCGACCGCAAGGGGGCGTCGCACAGTTACGACTGGAGTCCCCCAAGGTTTCGTTCTTGGTCAGGTAATTTTCAATTTATACATCAATGACATGCCTGCTCACGAACAATGCTCCCTGGCCTTGTTTGCCGACGACAGTGCAAAGTTACTTAAATAAAATCGACTGCTACTTCAACACTTGGAAACTCCAAAGTAATCCCACTAAAACCCAAGCTATTCTTTTCACTCTCAGAGGTAGAAATTCTGTTCATCGCTTGCCCCAACTTCAAATCCAGCAACATCCACTCTCTTGGTCCACAACCGTCACTTATCTCGGATTAAAGCTTGACCATAAACTAAATTGATTGGTAACTGCTAGAGACAGAGCCACCAAAACTCTCAAAGCAGCTTTTGGCATAACGCACATTTAAACACCAGATCGCGTCTCAGTTTTAAATTGAAACTGCTAACCTACGCAGTCTGTATCACTCCCATTCTCACATATGAGGCACACGTATGGTGGTCCCCATATCCAAAATCCCAAGAGCTATTTTGACTTCTCACAATAACCCAAAACAAGATTCTCAAGATGATAACCGGTTCTCACCAGCGCTTCCCCACAGAGGTTCTCCTTCGCAATACCCCAACATTCCCATCAATGTCTACCTATTCCATCTTATAGGTAAATTTAAATCCGCCTCCCATATTAACCCGCTAATCTCTCTCACAGGTACATATGATAGGCTTAAAATTCCATACAGAACAAAAATTGAATTTTCACTCTCATTTCTCAACCGCCTCGAAGCCAAAGCTCGATTTGACATATCCATTCAATGGTTGGCCCACGTTAAATCGTAGCTTCAACGCATTATCTCCAAATCAACAACTGGCATGCTGGGTGCGACTAGCCTATAAATATTTCGTTCATTACTCGACTCGCACTCATCCTCCATTCATCAAAAATTATCTATACCCTCTGCGGACTCCTTTTGTCCGCAGAAAATTTTTTATCTCTTCCCATTAAATTCCCTTCTCCCATTCTTTTCTTATTCTCATTCACTGCAGCTTCTCTGGTCACTTTACAGTTTACTCCACCTTCTTTCGCCGCACTTAGTCACCTCCAAGCATACTATTAATCATATTGGAGCTACTTTTCAGCCCATAACATCAGGACTCCTTATCTTCTGCGCACCTGGATACTTCACACCGGTACGTCCACCTACAACACTACTATTACAGGAGTTAAATTCAGATCGCACCACATACACTACACTAATAGCCTGTCTCTACTATAATTCTTCTCACTCTTTCAATTCACTCCCATCTCCCCCATCCCCCATCCCTCCCTCCCCAGCATATTACATTAAATAAACTCTAATAACCATCCCAATACACAACTTACTATCCTCCATTCTCTTAACTAGCAGTTAACCTTACACTTTTTATTATATTATTAAACAATCCACACTGCGCTGACACTCCTTCCTTCTTCCCCCTATCTACATTTTCCCACCCACCTGACGGAGTTTTTTTGCAAATTTTCCTCCAATAATCACTTTTTTACTAAACTCTCACTACCCGTAGGTAACTCAATAAACGTTGTGGCGGCTACCTCCAGACCCGCCAGCAGAGGGCTCCTCTTCCCGCTAGTAACCGATCCGGCTCGATCCCTATATATACAGAGACTTCGTCCTACCGCCACGTCTAAGGCAAGGGCCCGCTAGAATAGCCTTACTGATGAGTCCTCTAGCGGGCCCCGGACGAAACGTCTCCCCACTCCCTTCCTCACCCAAGCACACCCTACGACCGCCACCAAACTGGTGACCCCGACGTGATACTAGTGCTGTGCGGTAGTGAGTGCAGTGCGCCTAGACATAGACAGTTAAATAGAAGTATAATAAAATGAATACCGACGAGAACCGTGATAGTGCCGCGACGCCGGAGGTTTGCCGCGTAAGTATGCGCATACCACCGTTCTGGCCGGAGCGACTAGAGATCTGGTTCAACCAAATCGAGGCACAATTCACGCTAAGCGGCATCACAGCAGACAATACCAAATTTTGTCATGTGATGGCGCAACTCGACGCAAAATATGCAGAAGGGGTGTGGGACATTTTCACTGCGCCCCCGGAAACCGAAAAATACGAGACGCTCAAACGGGCGCTGGTCCGCAGCGGAAAATAAGAAAATGCTGAGACTTTTCGAGCAGGAGGAAATCGGCGACCGAACACCGTCCCAGCTCCTGCGGCACATGCAGAGTCTGGCCGGAAAAACGATGACTGACAGCTGCCTTAAGACACTGTGGGCCAACAGGCTGCCAGCGATGGCGAAAGCCATCATCAGTTCGCAAATCGGCCTACCACTCGACGTGCTGGCGGACATAGCGGACCGAATCCACGAAGGAGCAGCCGACAACCAAGTGGCCAGCGTCTCGACGGCGCGGAAGGATCCGCTCTACAGGTTGGATCAAATGGAGGCGCGGATAGCGGAACTGTACCGGTCGCGTCCGCCGAAGAGATCCGACCAGCCTAATTACCGTGGTCGTTCGAAATCGAAAGAGCGGCGTCGGAGCGCGTCCCCCCAGGAACAGGGACCACTGCTGGTACCACCAGGTGTTCAGGGCGCAATCAACCAAATGCAGGCCGCCGTGCGCATACAGCGCGGGAAACGCACGGGCACACTGAATGCGGCGATCAGTGATGTGCCAAAAACTTGCCGCCTTTTCGTACGAGAGAGGACATGGAACGAGGAGTATCTAATAAACACCAGATCGGACCTCTGCGTGTACCCTCGATCGTACATAAAGGGTCGCCTGGACAAAGCAAAGTACGAGCAGTTTGCTGCCAACGGGTCCATCATCAGTACATACGGACTGAAGCCGACGAACCTCGACCTGGGACTGCGACGGAACTTCACATGGAGATTCGTCATCGCAGACGTGTCGAAACCCATAATCGGGGCCGATTTCCTGACACACTACGGACTGCTGGTGGACCTCAAAGGCAGGCGACTTTTGGACGAGACCACGACGCTGACGACCACCGGGAGAATCGCCACGACGGAGACGCAGTTCGACAAGGCGATAATGGGGAGTTTGCCGTACCAGCAGCTTCTGGCGGAATTCTCGATCCTGCTGCGTTACATAAGGAACGGCAGGTAAGGCACAATGTATCGCATCACATAACGACGATGCTGTTGCCAACACCCAGTAACGTTCTCAAGGATTCCACACAAGAAACTCCTAGCAACACCGAGGTTACAATATAAAAACCTTATATATTTACAACTTCAAATATTCGGTTGCGAAATTTGGAAAAGAGTTAACCGCCTCCTATAGGGACAATTATTCCCTCAAATATAACAAAGATAATATCCGTATTCAACTTTCCAATACACAACACCTTCAGAATCAAGAACGAAAGAGCCTTACAGTCCTTCAAGGCCATTCCAGCTGCACCCCCGAGGAAATCATTCAGCAAATTTCTTTCCATGGCGTCACCCCCACCGCCGGCTACCTCATTAAGGACTCTAATACATATAGAATCAATTTCCCTATGGGCACCTCAATTCAAGATATCCTTAAAATCAAATTCCTTTTTCGAGCTAGAGTTTACTAGGACAAGTAGACTCTAGCTATCTCCTAGCTATGTCCAAAGCTAAACATACGCAGTTCTACCGTTGTCAGGCCTTTGGTCACTCCTCCTCCAATTGCAATATGCCCCCAGCTCGCGTTAAATGCGCCGGGCCTCACTTTTCTAAAGAATGTTCCAAAGCATTCGAAGTTACACCAAAATTCTGTAACTGCAATGGCCCTCGCATGGCTAATTTCCGCGAGTGTCCGCTCTTGGCAAATTACTTGGAAAAAAGAGCAGGACCCACCCAGCACATGGGTCCGAAAAACCCACACGACGTTCCCAGAACGGTAAAATCTGGATCTCTGGTTAAATTATCAGGGAAAAACGTGAGCGACGTCTCCGGGATTGATCCGGCCGATCTGAACCGCCTGGTTACGATCGGTGCGGGTGGCACTTACGCTATTTGGAGTGACTTAAATACTAAACACCGTTTATGGAATAACTTTACTGCCAATGGCGCTGGACAACTGATCCACGACCATATGCTCGGGAGCAGACTACAACATTATCTTCCCCCCAACCCCACTTGCTTCGCCAACCGACTCCAGCCTACAACCTTAGACATCCTAATGACAAATTGCTCTGCTAAATTGGATGCCCATACCACAGATTTCTTCGCAAGCATAGACCGTCCGGTCATTATCATGCCAAGCGATATCCGACACACTATCCCCTACCAACCCAAAATCGATTGGGGACAATACCGCGATTTAACTTTACAATACCACTTACACTGCAACCTGACTTCAACAACCGATATCGAGTAGACAATAATCAAATTCAATCAATTTCTTCATTCCTGTCGGGCCAAGTCATATACCTCAAAAATTAATCCCAATAAACGCAACCCAGGATACTCCAATGACAAAGACATAGTTGCACTAATCCGTCTGCGGCACACCCATAGCGTCTCAGCTTAAAACTAAGACTGACGTTGTACAAAGTTTGCATCAGACCCATACTCACATATGGAGCAGACGTCTGGTGATATGCGTATCCCAAATCATAGGAACTATTCCGCTTACTAACTACTACTCAAAAAAAAATTCTGAAAATAATAACCGGTTTTCACCACTGCTATCCCACTGAGGCATTCCGCCGCAAAACTCAAATCCCAAATATAAACGTCTACCCCTCTATAATCTTATAGCCAGACTCCAAACTGCCACCCACAATTTCCCTCACAGAGACTTATGACAGACTCAAAATCCCCTATAGAATCAAAATCGAATCTCCATTCGCATTTCTTAACGACCCTGCGGCCAAAGCCCGGTTCAACATCAATAACCAATAGGTTGCACACGTTTAACTCTCCGGGACATATTTTCAACTTTAATCGCTCAAACGGCATATCGCCCACGCAAACCAAAACTTTGTTTATTTTCTTCCCCTAACTCCCTACTCACTCCGGCTGACTTAAAAATTACAGCTCCGTTTGCTATCTCATAGCGATCTCTTTAATCTTTCACAGTTTTACATTGACACATGCTTGTAATCCTATTAGTTCTTTTCAGCTTGTGCCACATGGCTTATACTAAACTCCCACACAGGTAACGCCCAATAGCAACAACATACACAGCATTGGAGCTTCATCTCTCTCAAATGATACAATTACATCGCTAGCAAGCTACACTTACAGGCACTGCCCATTGCAACACATCATAATATTTTTACTTCACTTAACCACTAATAATCTTTCCTACAGTCCAACCTTTGTTGACTCAATTCTTAACCCTTAAACATTTACCTACATTTACTTACCACCATAGTAATCGACCTGCAAGCCCGTCACCCATATCCCAAATCTCCCCTTCTCTTTCTCCTCCCCCCTCCTCCTCTATCCTCATCATGGAGTTTTTTGGAAATTTTCTCCGCATTTTAGATTCCTTACAAGAAACCACTTCAGGTAGTTAATGTCATCAACGTCACTCATCCAATAAGCCGGCATCATACGGATTCACGTTACCCCCCCCCCCCTTCCAAAATGAGCAATCGTCAGCGTTTAGACATTCACTTCAGGATACACACCTACCTTCTCTTTCTTTTTGCTACCTCTACTGCTTATATATTATCTATTATCGCTACAGGTACACGAAGCTTGGAGCTTAACAAACTGCTGCTCAACATCAGGATCACACATCAACATCTTCTGCTAATGGGCACTGTTAGCACTGCAAACTGCTTACGCCAATCCATTTTTATACTTCTTCCTATCTCTTAGTTTAATAGTCGATATATTCTATCATATTATTGTACACTCAAACACTATTAATCAAACCTTATACTTCACACTAACACTGTTTATTTTGCCACTTAACCATTATCCTTACCCTCAACCCTGTTCCTATCGTTTTACTCCTCTTTCCTTCCTCTATCCTTTCCTACAAATCTATGGAGATTTTTGAAAATTTTCTGCAAAAAATCTTTTTCCTTTAATAGATCTATTCTTCAAGAAGATAACTACATCACGCACCATTTATCCGGTAAGCCAGGCCTAACTGACAGGTACGGATCCTCACATCACATCTGACGGATCTTTTTTGCAAATTTTCCTCCCATAATCACTTTTCTACTAAATTCTCACTACCCGTAAGTAACTCCAAGAACGTCATTTATCTGGTGAACCTGGCACACAGAGTCAAGGAGAGTTACACCACCCCAAGACATAAAAATAAAAAAAAAGGCAATCGTCAGCGTTTCGCCGAGAGACCGGTAGGAAGATGCTTTTTGCATAACCGTCTCCCGAAGGACACTGCGCTGACGTCCCTATTCGGGTCCCAGGAGCTTCTGGTTCCGTGAGGGCACTAGATACCGTGGCACGAGCGGGTTGCCCTAGTGAAGGTGATCAATACCTTCATCGCTCCTCCGGTCTATCGAAGGCATGCCAGACGTAAGTGAGTGAGCGGTGTGGCAAAGACAATACGCGTGACTAATCCGAGGTTGCTGTTTCTCTCAACCCCCATCAACTGATGGGGACGAGCTGGCCGGATTATACTCAAAGTGCTTTTAGGGTAGGAGGCTGGAAGCGTTAGTAAGTCGGGTTAAGCGGAGGGATCGTACCCGGAATATCCCTTAGCCAGGTGCTTCTGGTGGGAACTCGCCGGCGTGGTTATCCTAGATGCTTCTAACTAGGAGAATGGAAAGAAATGGAACGGAAGAGATATGAACGAAGAACAGCGCGTTCTTTTGAAAACGAGTAGTATCCCGAAGGAATAGCAGCGATAGTAGGGGAACAATAAATTACCTCGCTCTCCTCTCCTTGTCTAGCGTAATTTGACACTCATTTGATTCCTTTGCAAATCACAGGTAACGACTACGGGATTTACAGTAATGTCTCTCTATCTGTCGCCGGGACCGAATTCTAAACTGTCGAGAGTAGTACGCAGGAATTGATTTCTTCGAGTCTCGCGGCTCGCCTTTATTGTTGCCGACACCTTGTGAGAGGGAGAGAGATAGAACGAAACTAGAGTCGCGCGAAACTATGTTGTATATTATGTATGTAAGGCAGCGGTCAGCATCAGAGATAGCCGGTGTACAACATTGTAATGATAGAATAAAAACGATGACTTAACTTTTTTATTTCTAATTTTTTTTACATTGTGGTGTCGCATCGCTCGCCACTGCTCACCCCCTACCTGAGCGCGGCCGCTAACAATCAAACATTTGCCTTCCTAATCCACTCCCAATAAACACCAAACGTACGCGAGCCCAACTTTCACCTCTCTCGTAAACTTTTCCTTTACGATAGCCCTAATAAACACCAAATGTGAAAAACTCCCTTAAAAACACGCACAGCCAATAAAACAATTATCCGAACCTTCGCATACCTCGACTCGCACAGACCTTTCCCTTTCTTCCCTTCCAAGAGAATTTCATCTTTTCCCTTCTTATGACTATCCTCGCAAACGGTATAAGAAGAGCAAAAGGCAACTCTGCGAGGACAGTTGGTTTAGGCACTTAAGTCGAGTCAGTCACCGTCCGATCAGTTCCAAGCTGTGTACACCTATAATAATAAACACCTATAAGAATAAACAGGATAAACACTATAACCAAAGACAAAACATTTTGATTCACTTGCCATTCCCCTACTAAAACATGAATTTTTTTTTCATATATTGGTTACATTTTTCCAATTAAAATGATATCAAACACGACATGATTTAGGCCATACTTATTCATTATACGTAGCAAGTAACTTATTTTATTTGTGAAAAAAGTATTAGAAAAACCGATTCCTAATATAGGAAATATTAAAGGCGACGTTAAAGAAGGTATATACATATGTCTTTCGAAAGAAAATATCAGTGCAGTTACGTTATTCGAGCTTACGTTCGGTGACGGGAGAAAGAGGCTGTTAGATAACAGCAGGGAAGAGTCTATGGCTGAAAGATAACGCCAGAAGCGTCCATGCTGAGATAGATGACAGGAATAGGTCATGACTCGGTTCGACTACAGTCTGAGGACGAGCCTACGCGCAGAGGGTGTGAAGGAACAGTTTTCTGTACTTTTTCCATCAACCCTGGAA